TGCCGGGGTTCGGTGTGAGGCCGCAAGTGACGTTCTGGAACCGTTCTCTGCCTAGAACCCAGCCGCCGCCTCGGCTCCCGGTGGGTCCCAGTCACAAATTCGCCGGTAATTATTACTGCAACCGGGACGGACGCCGAGAGTCTTTCCCGCCCATCGTGGTCGCGGCGACACAGAAGACCCTGGCAGCGGGGGCTCAAGCTGGCGGGTAGGTCTGAGCCGGTGTGTGCCGATATTCGAGCTGAGCGGGTTTAAACCTTGTTTGATTCACGCCAGAAACGCGGAAGTCTTGCAATAAGCAGAATTTAATTTCCCAGGTTGGTAGAAGAATGCTGAATTAATTGTATTTCCTTTTGAGTAAGTGGGATGGCTGGGAGTTGGCTTAAGGAACTCCTCTAGCAGGAGCGTGTCCAGAGAAGGACAACGAAGTGGTGAAGGGTCTGGAGCACAAGTCCTGTGAGGAGCGGCTGAGGGACCTGGGGTTGTTTAGTCTGGAGAAAGAGGCTGAGGGGAGACCTGATGGCTCTCTACAACTCCCTGAAAGGAGGGTGCAGCCAGGTGGGGGTCAGTCTCTTCTCCCTAGTAACAAGCAATAGGACAAGAAGAAACGGCCTCAAGTTGCACCAGGGGAGGTTTAGACTGGAGATAAGGAAAAATGTCTTCCCCAAAGGGTTGTCAGTCCCTGGAACAGGCTGCCCAGGGAAGTGGCTGACTCACCAGCCCTGGGGGGATTTAACAGATGTGTGGATGTGGCGCTTGGGGACATGGGTTAGGGGTGGGCTTGGCAGTCTGAGGTTGGACTTGTTTTAAAGGTCTTTTCTAAATGGTTCTGTGATTCTGTAATAAAGCTTGTAGTCCTGATTAAATCAGTCTGGTTTTCATGGTGGTACTACTGCCTCTTCTCTCTCTACCCCAGTTCAAGCTCTGCAGTGACAACAACTGAGAAAAAACCGGTGACACCAGGACCAGCACTTAAGAAGTGGGAAATTTCAAAAGACCAGCCCTATTTGTGAGAAACAAGCGTGAAATAAATGTGAAATAAAGGCTGGATGTGCAGGTCACAGTTCATTACAAAGCAGCACTCTCACGGAGAGGCCTGTGGTGGATTTTGTTACAGCGAGGCTGTGTGGAACTTGTCCTAGTGCTGCTGATGCATGACTAATAAATATATTTAAAGCTGTGATTATTCCCCCCACCTATTTGGCCTGTTCTATTGGAATTATCCAAATTACTACTCTCTAATATTGTTTTGGGTGTAAAGTTTTCTTGAGGGAATAGCAACGCAGCATGGGCATGTGAGCTCAGTGGATTTGTAAGCTAACTGTCTGCGATCCTACTTCAAGGTGAGACACAAAGACGCACCTGAGATACCGCTTAAGGACAGAGCTGAATAAAATGCACTGTAGTCAAGAGGGACGCGATGCTCTGGTTTTGCAGTAAGAGAAGTAGCCCGTCGGCCTGCCCTGTTGCAGCTGCGCAGTGAGCAGTGCTGATGATTTCTCAGTGCACCGCTGGAGAGGGTGGCTGTTCCCCTGTGCTGCTGGAGGAGCACGGACGTGGCTATGCTGAGCACTCACACAATTAGCCACCGGCCAGCACCGGTTTTTGTCCCTCTGCCATGAGGGGAAAGCTTAAAAAGTCATGGGGAGAAGCAGAGGCGACCGCAGGCCTCTGGGAGGTGAACCGGGAAGGCTGACCTGCCCTGAGCAAACCAGCCCACTCCAGCAGGGCCGGGTCTGCTCGCCCGCGAAGCCTGGGGTGGGGGGCGGG